AGCTACCCGAGTGTGAAACGATGGTTTATGCTCCTGTAGCAGACACAAGTTCGTCTGATTTAAGAAAAACAAGGTTCATACATGAAGTTGGGGAGAAGAACTACACTACCAACAATCACAGGGTGTCAAAGCAATGTCTCTGACTGGTGGAGGTCACTGTTACCATGGCAATGTTTCCCGCCCCACTGTACTATATGTGAAACGATTCAAACCGAGATTTTAGCTAGCAGACTAGCTACTTTGGTAGCTTACACTAATCTTATTAATAACTTTGTTATGTGCATGTAATTTATATATTCACACAACACAAACTACAAGATATAACACTTGTATTAACAGTATAAACACAACAAAAGTTACATTTAAGAAGTGGAATCATCATTCGCAATGGATTGTGGGAGGGGGTTGTTCCTTGACTCTGTAAAACATCACGTCCACAGTCTTGTACCTTTGCCTTTTGATCTGATTTATAATCATTTATTTGCACCTAATCAAATGTTTTAAAGTCACGAGTTTTGGGGAAACTGGTTGTTCTGGTTCCAGTCTTCAATCTCTTTAAGGATTTTGTAAATGCCAAAGGAGGATTGGAAAGGGGACTTTTCCAGAACCAAAAGTTGGTGGTCACTGTTGAGCTCTATATCCAAGCTCCCGTTCAGGTACTACAGCCGGTCTCTCCTTAAAGGGGCTGCCGCATATACTTACCCCCCCTCAACACACACACACACACACTTTAACTGACTGACCTCTTCCTGTTCTGCCTCATTCTCTGAATGCCTCGGTTATGCCAATGCTTGCAGATCAAAGCCAACTTGATGTGTCACAAAAAAAGAATTGTCTCCTTTTAATCAAACTAAGAAGTACCACAACAACCTGTAACAGCCTGTGAGCTAGCATATCACAGACGCCTGGTGTGTTGAACACTTGGTACTAAGTAAGGGATAGACCTGGAGGGTAGAGGAGGGATCAACCAGACCTTTAAATCCAAAATAACAAGATACTTTTTATCCTTCTGGTGATCTTCTGGTGTATGGATGGATCGTTACTATGTTTTTTTTTGGGCCACATTTTCTAGTTTTATAAATTGGGAGATAAACTGCTGTTTGTTTTGGTGTATCAAGACTTAATATGGCAGTTAGTCACAGTGGTACAAATAGACACACCCAACTGAAACATGTCAAACCACTGTAGGCCAAGAAGACTTCTCTCTGACAATAAAGGACCAATTACAAAATAATGACCACTGCCCAAATAATAAATATGGTCAAATGTAGACTCTGGTGTCATGTTAGTAGAATGATTAGTTTTTCTCAATGCACCATTTTCAAGACTAAATTTTAAATAATAAATGTACATAGGTAACTTACATTCTTTCAGGAGAGAAAAATAACAATATAGAAAAAGTCAATCTTGTCGCCGACAGTCTTGTACCTTTTTATAGAGAGAGAGGCATCTTTATACATTTTAGATTAATTTTATTACCAGCCAAGAACTCCTCTATAATTTAATTTAGAATAACCAAATTAATAACCAATGTTTCAAAAAGGCTAGACTTGCTGCTTCATGATATTATCAAATGTCCTTTTAGCAATGAGTTCCACAGACCCCTTCCCCAAATCATGGTATCATGACATGGAATAATGCAAATATGTAGACTATTATCTAGTTTTCTTCCCTGACATAATCTGTTTGTTCAATATTTGAACAATGTAGACCAGAATAGCTGTTAAGCTTTGTGTTGACAGAAATCACATGATCCAGTATTAGCAAACATCCTCCAACAAAACAGACAGCAGCTTCTGATAATTGAAGATAGACCTGCAGTTTGGTGTAGACTCATTTACAGAGCCGTAGCATTAGCAGCTCCTATGGCTTGATAGCTAACATTTTGTAACCTGATATAGGAGTAGAGGGCCCCCCACGATCAAAAATGTCCTCTCGTACAAAAGATTTGAAACCACACCGGTGTTACCAACATCCTGTGACATTTAAAAAAGTATTTGATAATAATGCTTCATATCTGTAGACTTCTTACTTTAGTCTTTGTTCTTGTTGGTGAACTCTCTTCTTCTCAATTCCTCTTACTCATCACATGATTGGTGAAATCTGAAATGCTGCTGTATGACACAAAGACTTTCAGTTTTTTGATTGAAGGGTAGGTTGATCTAATAAGTGTAGACACCAGCAAGGCGACGATACCAATTGTTTTACTGTTTGGAACTCTTAAGTTTGGCATCTGGGCAGTGGCCATCTTGGTTTTTATGAGCCAGTGGTGACTTTAGTTGTACTACATTGCTATGGTCTTAATCCTGATGGCAGGTTGCTGTAGAAGCCATTTCTTAATTTCTTAAACACTTTTCTTTATGAATGTTATTGTAAACTGAGTTACAGTGTGTTGGATTGAAAAAGACTTAACTAATGTTCAGAGATAACGAGGTGACCATCAACTGTAAAACAATGTTTGCTACAAGCCTAAAGAGGGATACTGAAGTCATTTTGAAATCAGGAAATCAGATTTTCAATTTGCAGAGTCTTGGGCTCGTTATTGCTGTGTGATTCATGTTTTGCTGATATACTTGTCTTTTATTACACTGAAAGCGCTTTAAACTACACGTCACATTCATCCAACTTCTTCTACACATATTGATACACTTGAGGCAGAACCTGCTATCCTGTCTAACACAATCTGCTTTACTAACACACTTACCCATAGATGGTTATGTCTTTGGAGCAATTAGGGGCTCAGTATGTGAAGGGGCCAGGAATGTTATAAAGGAACCGCTCTAAGTCCTGAGTCACAACCACCAATTGTTACAGTTTTCTTTCTTTTTAAATATTTGTTTGGGAAAGTCATGACAAATGTTACTAATTTCTTCTTGCAATGTTTCGTCCTTTTCATTCTACCGATAATTACAAGGCTAAACCTGCTTTATAATCTGCAATACCAACAAGAGAATATATCAATACTTGTTATTTAACTAAGCACTGAATATTAAAAGGTAAAAGCTTTTACACCATTCTGAGTAGAATTTAGATTTTATATGAGAGTTTTACAACAACACTAGCTGGACTAAGTTGAATATATAAGCTGAAGATATCTTGTAGTTACTTAATATTTACAAACATGTTTTTGTCATACTAAAAATGGGACCATCTCTTATCCAGGCAAATATAAGTATCGGATTGGGACTTGGTATCGGCTGATTCTCAATATAAAAAAATCGGATCGGGGACCTTAAAAGCTGATCGGGACATCCCTAGTTTTAAGCTACAGGAAACCTACCGACTATCCAGCTTTATTAGCTGTACAACAGGTGCACAAAATAACAAGCACACATGTGCAACAAAATGCTATTTAACACAACAACTCTGCAATGTGATCACTGTCTGCTCAAGATTCCTGGGAAAATAAACCTGGCAACACATAACCAAATAAGAAACACAATCTGTTCTTTCCATGTTCAGCACTCTTCAGATATAAACAACAACATGCAACATGAACCGCTTTCATAACACTGTGATGATCTTGCAGCGCCGCAACACATCACCTAAAATAAACTGGACACATGTCTTATTGCATTATATCTTATACGATTACAACGTTTTCTTCCTTTTGGACTTCTGCTCTAACCATGTAAACATAAGAGTGAGTATAATTAAGTAGAATATAGGGATGTAAAGATTAATCGGGATAAATCGATTCAAAGGTGTCAAGGTTCACATTGGTACTCTGAAAAATGAATCTCAATAATATGGTGAGCGTCAGCAGCTGGAGAGCAGAGGAAGCATTTTGGCTTCCCAAAGACAGAATATGAAAGAAGAGAGAAGATAACAGATGAGACAAAAACTGTGTGTAAATATTACAAGAAGACGGGGAATCACACAGATAGCACAACCAACATGATGCAGCTTTTAATCCACACCACAACGAGAAGCTCCAATCACATCCCCTTGTTGAGAGAAAAAAACATTAAAAGGCCAAACCACACTGACAAGCAGGTTAGCAGCTCCTAAAGGAATCTGTTTCAGTCATACTTTGTCTTCAGTCTCATTTTGTAAAATAAATGAACCGTATCGTGAGTTGAGCGAATCATTACATCCATAGTAGAATAATATAAACTGTAAATAAGTTGAAGTGTATCTTACAGAAGCAAGTCTTTACACCACTGATGGACTTTAACCACAGTCTTTTAATTGTCTTCTTGTAGTGAATATTCAGTTCTCACACTACCTTAGACATATGTATGCATGTGGTTTGTTGTTCTTACACAGCTGCTAAATTAACTGAAGAAAAGGAGTTTAACAAATAACCCAGCAGAGGGTTCAGGACATCTCTGTAAACAAATGACAACTCCAGTCACACTGGGTTTCAACATTACACTGGACCACTGACCTGCAATAAAGCGAAGAATACAGAGCAAATCATCAGTTAAAACTGGTGCCACAGGTATTTAGTCGAAAATAACAAGTGGTCTACGCCATTTTAGAGAATATTAGATGATGTGGAGAGACGCTATGGCCTTCTGTGTGAAGGAGAACTGTAATGTTTGGAGCATCCGCAAGACAAATATATAAAAGACAGCGCAGGAATAATCATCTGTTTGTTGTGAAAAGTCCTGATGAGACAATGATTTGCTGTAAAGAAAGCTGATTACTCAATGTTTAGTGGAACAGCTAGCTCTGACAAGCTAAGCTGTTAGCTAGACTAGCTAGCTTCGGCTAACACCCCCACCCTCGGCGCAAAGGGACAAAAGGCCCAACATCTATGTTTCTGACGAAGCAGTGTAAGAAACCCCTAAAGCAGCGTGTGGATGTGTCATTTTATGGTCTTGTCAGGTTGTTTGCAGTTTAATTCATGTGTGATTATAGTGCAGAATTAGAGCTGTCATCCCACCCCTCACGTCTTTTACACCACGTCATTGGACTCTCCAACACTGCGGAAATACAACACTAAGCTAACCGCTAGCAGCTAGCTGACTGCACTCTGACAAGCTGCTGTTTACCCGTATCTCCGATGATGATGTATTTGAAGAGGTACGCGTACGCCATGGCTCCTGGTTTGTTGCAGTCAGCTGTCTCGAAAGTTACGCCTCCGTTTAAACAACCGATAACCGTGTGGAAAAGGCAGCTGGCGGCTTGTTAGCCCGTTTTTCTCTGACGGTGCCGAGGAACAATAAACAGCAAGAAGCCGAGGCGCTACGTCACACGGTCCGCCCTCGCCACGCTACAGAATGATGTGTTCAAAGTCTGCTCGGATATTTGGCAGTTTTGGTCTTATTCAACCCTATTTACGGTCTATGATTCAACCATTGTTTGATATTCATAATTGTCAGAGTAACTTCACTTTTTTTTATTGTATTTTAGCTTAATCCACATTGATATCATAACTGACATCATTTTAACATCATAACTATAATATTAACAACACAATATATTCAATTAAATTAAAAAGAATACTGTTTCAAGTCATGTCGCAGCTTACTTTTCAGAATCTGACAGCTGAATCTTTATTTGCGGCCCACAACTGAAATTGGATGGATAACTTGCATAACTAAAGCACATTAATCTAATTTATTATTATTATTATTATTATTATTATTATATTCTTTTCATGAAGTCAAAAAAAATGTTTGTGCAATGTGCTGCTATTTGGGTGTGAGCCTCACCATTAAAAATGTTAACGTTAATGCATCTACAATTTAACTGTATTGGTTAACCATTATTAACCAAATTATGCTCTGTAATGAAACTCACAGTATTTAATTGATTTAGTTTTTTGTGGTCTTCACGTCAGATTGATGTGTAAGTTTTGTTTTCTAAAGCAGCAAAAACTCTGCGATGTCCCAAACCAAGGTTTTCACAAGATTTGCCTTGTTTTTGTTTGTTTGTTTTTGCATAAGAACACACCTAGTACGGAAAAAGAAGAACAGAGTAGGCCTTCAACACATGTAGAATTAAAAAAGGAAACTATATGGATAAACTACCAATAGAAATACATGTATTTATGTATAAATGGAGAGAGAGAGAGAGAGAGAGAGAGAATGAGAGAGAGAGAGAGAGAGAGAGAGAGCAGTGATATTTATGTAGATATTTAAGAATTATACATGTTCTGAGAGCTACATCTGCCTTACCAAATTTGTGTTCCTTTTTGGGGGTTATGTCTTTTACTCTTTTAAAAAGTAGTTCCAAAAATGACCAACAGGTGTCACTCCTTACCAATGAGTTTGTACAGCACTACTTCAAAACATTCCTGTTTTTACCCATTTTACATACACTCACACACACACACACACACACACACACACACACACACACACACACACACACACACACACACACACGCACACAGACAAAATGAAACTATAAACACTGACTTGAAGCTCATGTATCAACAACATGACTCCAATCTGTTAAACTCTAAAAAAAGCACCAATTCCAACAAACTCTTCTCTTCTTTTGAAATATCTTTCAAAACCACAGTTGTGCAAATCCCTGAACACAAACTGCATCATGTAGGAACACTTTGTTCACCTAGAAACACTGGCCTTCAAAATGCAACACCCTGATAACCACTTAGTCCCACTCTCATTGAACTTGTGCAAACTCAACTGGAAGAACCCCCTTAGTTGTGTGTCAGAGCCGATGAGGCTGAGGTCCTCTGACATGACCAGGATCAGAGGTGGGATGAAGAGTGATCTTGTTGTCAGTACAGTTGAATACTTTGTAATGCAGCAACACATAAATATTTCTTGTTACCTATTTGAATGTGTCCACTTTCTCTACTTACAGAGTGACAGGATTAATTACTGAGTTTTGCTGCATACTAATAGGTAAAATTTGTGCTGGATATGTAGTTCAACTTCTGTAAATACTATTTCAGGACAGAAAACCTTACATGTTACCCAAGTGTCCATTTGAATATGTGATATGGTCTCATGAAGCCAAAACAAACATGAACACGTTTGATGGTTGTGTTTATAATTAATCACATCAGTGTTCATTTGATGCTTAAGGCATACGCGTATAATAACTGTGTGTTGTTTTCAGTGGAAGTAATCATTTATGACAAGAGGGAACGTGGTTGTAAGTGTTGTGTTTCATTTGTTTTTGTTTAGAGTTTTGGGAATTTGATCAAATTTTTGAGAATGTCTTTAAATGTACAAGAAAAACTGTAGTGCAAATGTTTATCAGTGAAGGGATAATTAAAATAAAGCAGAACAAAATATAAATTCTAACGATGTGCATGAAGCATAGCAAAGGAAATCACTGGCCTGTCCTTACGTAAACATGTATTAAAATAAACAATGGACAAAGTTATTACGTTTTTTGATCCTTAAGCTCAGTGTGTTTTTGACTAAATGGAAATAACTGTCTGTTTACATAAAGGTTTAATGATAGCTCAAATTTAAAGGTGAGGGGGTAGGGAGAGGAGTT